CGCCCGCAGGTCGCAGTGGTCACCACCATGACCAACACCGACGGTGGTTCCACCACCGACTACCACCTTGCCGGAGAGAGCCCACCTAGTCTAATCAAGGGCCAACATTTAACATGGCCAAAACTAAAACACGAAAGGCAGATCACCATCGCCCATGCAACCACTGCAGATCCGGAGCGCACAGGGACTCGTCAACCGGTCCTCCCATTAGTAACCAAAAAAAGAGCACCAGCTTTGCGGTCTCTTACGCCATGCAGACCCCCACGCCCTGTCAATGAGCCTCGCAGGGTCGCACCCTCCTCTTTGCAGCCAAAATCACATGGATCCAAGTGAAAGCCACTACTGTCCTGATCAGACCGGTGACAACTGACAAGCCAGCAGGTATCCTGGTGAGGAGGTCATGCATGTACGTATTGATCCGAGCATCGGACGTGCAGACAATACGAGAAGCCTACGAAGAAGAAGAACCACATGACGGTAGCATACTAGAATAGCATGCAGAGTTGGAGACCAAAGGCTGACTGCTCTGCATTATTCCTCGACCATTACATAGGGCTTGCATACTTGCATGAGCAGACTTGAGTACTGGTCCAGGGTACATACATAGGATGACCCAGGCGGATATAAAACACTGTTAATCAAACATTACCTCTAGGTTCCATCATTGCTTAAAAAGTGCAGAAGCATTTGCCCGTTGAAACGCAGGCATGAATGCAAGCGGGGCCGCACGAGCAGATCTTAGCCGTCCATGGCAGAGCGGGCATACTTTCAGCGACTGTGGAGGTTTATTAATCAAACATTCTAAGAAACATCAAGAAACGTAACCGACTGACCTGCACATTGCCGTGTGTATCTAATGATTATATGCAAAGGAAGAGCCTAGCGCGACAGAAGATAGATACGGGAATTTCTCCAGGCAGAGGCACTGACGGAGCTTGACAGGGACTCCTCAACCGGTCTTCCCATTAGCAACCGACGATCACTAGCTTTGCGTCCTCTTACGCCATGGCCATGCAGACCTCAAGACCTGTCAATGTTCTCCACACAGCATCGTCGCACCCTCCTCTTTGCAGCCAAAACCACATGGATCGAGCCACTCCTGTCGTGATCAGACTGGCGACCCACGAGGTCATGCATGGACGGACTGCTTGATCGGAGCATCGGACCTGCTCCTACGTTTAGGCATGGAGTTGGAGACCATCGGTAGGCACGTTTTTATTTTTGGCATGGTTCTGGAAACCAGCCGTGCTAAGACAGAGGAAATAAAGTTGTCTCAGAAAAAAGATTTTGAGGATAGAACAGTAAAAATTTCGAGAAAACCCCGCAGGTTTACCAAACCGATTTCATTTTGGCGGGTCAAATGACGGAAAATTCCAGTGAATTTGCTAGAAGCCACAGGTCAAGAGAGTGGCATCCACATGTGGGCGGCACGGGACGTAAGGCTAACTCCACCGCGCGACCTCATCCTGTCCGGATGCGTCAGTTTGAGGTAAAAGGAACGAACCAGACGGCCCAGCGCGCAGGAGCAAATAGACTTTTGTCCATTTTCTGTCCGCTTTCGACCCATCTGCGGCCCGAGTTTGCGTCGCTTTTGGGAT